AGACTCCAAAAATCCATGGGGGTTTTCCACCTTACTAGATTGCCTTGCAACTAACTCCTATTTTCACTCAAAGTTCTCTCTCACAGAGATCTTATACTTGTTCAACTTCTTAAGGTCCATGCTAAATACAGGCTGCTTATGCTAAACCTTTTCATAGCTACACTCCCACGTTATCAACAAGACATTGTGATATAGATGTCTCATGAACTCAAAATGTGTAAAACCCAAATCAACCACTCCAAAAAGTCAGTAACGACACTGTTTTGAAATCTAATAAGGTCCAACTCCTTAAACAAGTCATCTAACCGCTCTGAGCCTCAACCATATTTATAATACGGATTCTACAAATAATACAAATTCTATAAAATAATATAAAATACCTCCTTCAAAGGGCTAATGTGAAGAATTGGATAATAGCCTTTTCAAACTATGAAGTGTTAAAAATAGTTCTCCATACAATCACAAACTATTTCTATCTCTGACACTATTTTTTTTTCACTAATTCAAAATCAAAACCACTGATACTTTCCTCTCATGTCATCTATAACCAATAATTCACCTAGCTCTGGCATTTCTTTCTCTACAACATCATTTTTTGTCACTGCTTTCTAAAAAACCCGTAATTTCTGATCTGCACCACTCTGAATGACTGATTTATCAGTATCCAGTTTCCTCTTTATCTAATCTATATCAGATCCTACCCAATATCAGATTTCTCTTCCTGACAGGCCCAGCTCAAAAGTCTTCAAAGGCTCTCTAGTCCACAGAACAAGGTCCCACCTACAGGGTCCTGCATTCTACGACACCACTGCAGCCAAGGGCCAGTTCCTAAGCTCAATTAGAGGCTTGGGATGAAGTCACATTGTCAGCCAAACCCAGCCCTCAGTGTGCCAGGGATTCACCGTATTCTCTGCTCCCCTGTGTTGCCCTGAATCTACCCTTTAATGTGTCCATGGGCCTTGACTCATACCCAGCCGATGTGAACAAGCAAATCATCAACAACTGCAACTTGATCTTACTTGCTTCTTCCCTTGAACTTCCCACTGATGAACTCATGTGTCACACTGGATCCTTAATATCATCATGAACTTGTTCTTAATTTAAACCTTGTTCTAAATCTTAAACCAGCATCAACAGCAAGGTTAGGTTGGTTAAGTCTAGTGCATAACCAGCATGCTAGGGAGCATGTCAGCTGGCCAGTTTCCTTTTCTTCCTAATTCCCTCCTGGCTCAGCATCTCTTTCCCCTCTCCTTCCTCACAATCAGGGTCCACCATAATCAAATTCAACAGCACTTTTAACCGTGCCTTCCACCACAGCTCAACAGAAAGCTACCATTCCATCTCAGCCAATAGTTTTCAATCCCATCAAACCCAATACCCATTTTATACAACAAATGTTTTTACCACTTTTTTTTGCCTTTACCACTATGAAATGAAATTTCAAATAATCATATACATATAATTTTGAACATATTAATCCATATGTATATGTAACTGAAACACATGTAGATATATATAAAACACATATTGATATGTATATGAAAATTTGCCTTTTCTACTATGAAATGAAATTCATAATAGGATGTATACACATATAAGTTCAAATATTTATATATATAATTTCAAATATATTAATCTATATATGTAATGGACATACAAAAAAGAAATAAAAAGTAATTTATAATGAAATGATATCTTTCAATATGTAAATAGTCAGGCACAACTACCTTGGAAAACATATTGAAGAGTGGTGCTTTCATCTATATACATAATCAGCATAAATACAATCACTACAAATGCAGACTGATCCACCGGTGTTAGATTAGCAATTTAAATAACATAAGCAGTATAGCCATTAGTTACATGATTTTCCATAACGCTAATAAGTTGCAATAAAGCTTGTAACAAAACAAAATACAATTTTCTCTTGATTTACACTGTACTTGTATTCCTGGATAATCTGGTACATATTAAATTTCTGCAGAACATACTTTCTGTTTATATGGGAAATTGTTGGGTGATAGGCTCAGACAAATATAAACAAGTTTTTCACCTGTGTGAATGCCCAGTAGGACATTTAAATGGCTTGTGGGACATGAGACTTGCTTATTGCATTAGAGCAGAGATTGATAAACTTTTTCTGTAAAGAGCCACATAGTACATATTTTGGTTTAAGAGATCACACAGTCTGTCACAAGTACTCAACTCTGTCTAAGAAAGAAGCCATAGACAATACATAAAAGAATGGGACTGACTGTGTTCAAATAAAACTTTATTTACTAAAATAGGTGGTGGGCCCCGGGCAGTAGTTTGCCTACCTGTGTATCAGAGTGTCCCATGTATTGCAGGATTCCCAGTTCCTACCCACTAAATGCCAGTTGTACTATCCAATTATTGTGATGACAAAAATACCTCCTATGGAACAATAACCACCCTACATTTCTACCCCTACCAGTGGAGAAATCCTTTTCTAAACTATTCCTATATACTCTGCTTGGCAAAGGCATTGAGCTTTCTAGTCCCAGCTCCTTCTTTTAATACCTGTCTGGAATGCAACTTCTCCTCAACCTACTCTTTATTGTTTATCTATCTATCTTATGCCTAATTTAAGACGCAGCTGACACCTTACCTCTCTTCACTAATAGAGGAATTTCCATAGAACTTAACAATCTTTCAGAAATGATTTGGTATTGATATGCCACCTCATATTACTCCTCAATTTATTATCTATATGTTCTGTCTCCCACCTGGAATGCAGATTCCTCCAGGGTACTCTGTCAGAGACTCTAGCTTAATAATTTTCCTTAAGTTGCTCAATGACTACTATAGAATGATTACCATGCTAGCTGTTGAGGGTATAGAAGTGAACAGTCAGACAAGGTCCCTGACCTCACAAAGATTATATGCTAATAGAACGGAGAAGAAACAATTTCGGATTCCAATAAGAACTATAATAGAAATAAATAGGGTGGTGACATAGTGAGTAAAGAAAGGTGAGATGACGGTCAGCTGCTATTTTCAATAAGATGGCTAAAACTATGAAAAGAGGATAGCTGGGATCTAAAAAGAGCCAGGGAAGAGCATTCCAGCCAGGAGTAAATGCACGTGCAAAATCCTTGAGACAGTTGAAACTCTGTGGCATGTTTGAAGAAAAAACAGTCATACAGTACTTGCAACAGAGTTTTAAATAAGGGGAGTGACATAATATGGTTTAGGTTTTTAAAAAGATTATACCAGTTACAGAGTAGAGAAGGGACAAGAGAAGAAGTGGCGAGTACAATTAAGAAGCTACTGCAGAAGTTCAAAAAAGAACTGAGGATACCCTGGACTGGGGTTGGCAGTGAAGAGAGAGAATGTGGACAGAGTTGAGAAATCTTTTAGAGAAGTAATTAACAAGACTTTTTCATGGGCTAGATTTAGGTGGAGGGAGCACTGCATGATGCCATTACCAATACAGGGAGAATATGGTTTGGGTTATGATGGGAAGATCATGCACTCCATTAAGATGTGTTAAGTTTGAGCTCACCGTTACATAAATGATTTCTGAAGACTGAACCAGCCTTGCATTCCCAGGATAAACTTCACTTGATAACAATGTATTATCCTTTTTACGTATTCTGAATTCAAGAGGATATGTCAAGTAGGAAAGAAGGATATATGAAATGGAGACAAAGACAAGGACTTAGCTAAAGTGATGCATATGCACGTCATCACCTAGAAGTCACTATTTAAACTTATGAAATAAAATCACCTAGAAAAGTGTGTTTATTAGGGAAAAGAAGATCCTTCCCTGTCCTGAAACTCCCCAAAATTTAGAGGAGCCAACACAAAGGAAAGAGAAAAACCTACCTATGCAGAAAATCTGATGTCACCAAAGAGAATATTTCAACCATGTGCAATCTGCTAAAAGGCTGGATAAAACAAGACAGAGGGGTGTGTATTTGATTTGTCTATAAGGAGGTGATAAACTTTATAAGAACAGTTTCAGCTAAATAGGAATGATGGAAACCAAACTAAAATGGAATGAAAAGGAGAGTCAGAGTTAAGAAAGTAAAAACAGAAAAGGGATTTTTCAAAAACAGTAAGTGTAAATCATATTAATAATGTGATAAACAAACCAGACCAGTGACAGACTACATTAAGTTAACCAATATTTTGATAAAACTGTTGCAGTAAATCACTGATATTTGCTTTTGTGCGGATCAGCAGAACAAGTAGCTGTTATCCCTTCAATGCAAAAACAGAGGTCTTATGTCAAGATAATTTGTACTTTTAAAAGTGTAGTATAAGTAAAGCTACTAATTCAAAAAGTTATGAAAGTGAACTGAAAAGTTCCCACTAATAAAAGAAATTATTTTATTCTCTTGGCATAGAGAAACTGCTCTATGTCAAAATTAATAAACAAAAGATAGAGCAATTTTGTTTAATAAAAATTAAAACTTCATATGTAGCAAATAACTACACCGTAAAAGAAATTTTTAAAAAATGACAAGGTGGAAGAAAATATTACAATATGAAAGACTCTAATATATAAGGAGCACCTATATGTTAATAAGAAAAAGCAACAGAAAATACAGTAAAGGACAGGAAGAAAGAAATCGAGAAAAAAGAAATTCAAATGACTAATAAGATAGCAAGACCCCCCCATTTAAAATTTTTTTCCCTAAAAGTCATGAATTTAGAGTAATATTAGACTAATTACATATCTCAGATGATCTGCAAATAAAATTAGACATACAAATTCCTCAGTTACCTAGAAAGCCTCACCATCAATGCACAGCAGTTTTCTCCCCACATCTGAGCATATATCACGATGGTCTTGTTTTATTTAACATCACTTCATATAATTGCAAGACATACAGATTTTTAAATTTCAGTTTATACATTCCAATGAGAGGTATAACCATATAATTTAAACACTCAGCATATTCAAAGGTGTATATTACTTAAATAGTTGAAAGTATCATACAAAAGCAAAGATAACTAGTAAAAGTGCCTACCTTCCCTGATAGCTGTGAAAGGTGTACCTTCTTCTTCCTGCAGCCTGATCACCTTCAGGGCTACCAACTTCCCATTTACCCTGTGAGAAGTGAAAGAAAACATGAGAAATGAATCTGTGAAAATGTGTGCCCCTTATGGTTCTAATTATCTTCTTTACAATTTATTTTTTATGCACTTTTGCACTGGAAATGTCAGTAACTGAATTATACCACTATAGCAAGATTAATTTCAGTAAGGCTGGGAATTCCACATCATCATCTTAAATATTCACACTTGCATAGGCCAAGATTTAACTGAAGTTTTCTGTGATTCATTTTGTTCCTTCTAGGATAAAACTAGTGTTTAACAAAATCATCATGCTTGACAATTATTCTTAGATTAATTAAAAATCAAGCAGTCAAAATAACTCTTTTCCTTTGTTTCTCCAATAGCTCCTTTTTTTCTTTTGCTGAAATGTCTTCATCTTCAGTCTCTAGCTGGGGTCATTCAATACCCAAGGACAGACACCTGACACTCAGCCTTCTCTCTCTCTCTCTCTCTCTCTCTCTCTCTCTCTCTTAACAACATCCATCCCCCCTTTATTCCTATTTTTTTTCTAGAACCTCCTAAAACTATATTTGTTATGTTTGTATTTTATATTATATCATCAAAAACGTTATGAATACTTTACTATTACAAGATTACAGAAGACCTATCCAAAGCAGATGGTTCTTCTAGACACATTCTAAATGTGTATCAGCTCTAATTAAAAGTAAGACTGCTCTATAAGATAACTTTTTATCCAGTCAATTCTGTCAACAATCAAAGACATGACTAGCTATAGTGGTCTTCTCCTTGAGTGCTCTATTTTCTACCTTTACTAGACCTAGCAGCATTCTTTATTTGGTTTGTTTGTTAATCAAAATAAGTTAAAAAAAAAAAGAAAGAATACATATTAAAAATGTAAAAGGTACAAGGGTACAAGAAAGTATTTGGTGAAAAATAAACAGATCTTCCTGCCATACCCTCCTTCAGCCACCCAGCTCCCATCCTCTGACGTCACCACTTACCACTGTTCATATACACATTCGGTTATCCAGTCAATTCTGTCAACAATCAAAGACATGACTAGCTATAGTGGTCTTCTCCTTGAGTGCTCTATTTTCTACCTTTACTAGACCTAGCAGCATTCTTTATTTGGTTTGTTTGTTAATCAAAATAAGTTAAAAAAAAAAAGAAAGAATACATATTAAAAATGTAAAAGGTACAAGGGTACAAGAAAGTATTTGGTGAAAAATAAACAGATCTTCCTGCCATACCCTCCTTCAGCCACCCAGCTCCCATCCTCTGACGTCACCACTTACCACTGTTCATATACACATTCGGTTACATAGACTTTTAAATATATATGTGTGTGTGTGTATATATATATATATATATATATATATACACACACACACACACACACACACACACACATAAATATATACACAGACATTCACATATGTGCATACACACATACACAAATGGTAGTATACAATAGAGTACACTAGATACTGTTTTTGTCATCGTATATTTTGGTGACTTCCTTATAAACTCATAGAAAACTTCCTCTTGCTTTTGAAAGGTCACAGGATGTTCCTTTGTATAAGTGCAGTATACTTAATTTAATCCCAGTCCTCTATTGATAGGCATTTAGCTTGCTTCCAATTTTTTGTTACTGCAAACAGGGATGCAATGAATATTGTTGTACAAGTCACTTCATCCATACAAAAATATATCTGTAAGATACATTCCTAGAAGTGGAATTGCAAGGTCAAAAGGTATATGCATTTCTAATTTTGATGAATATTGGAAAATTATCCTCCATAGAGGACACCAATTTACCATTCCTATAGCAAACTATGAGATCTCCTGTGCCCTCCCCTCTCCTTCATCAATGTTATATGTTATCAATGTTTGATTTCACCAGTCTGATAGGTCAAAAATGGTTTCCTGTTGCAATTTAAATTGCTACTAAAGATCCTCAGAGGTAAAGACCAGCAGCAGAGAATTCATGTGAACCAAAGAATTCAGTGCCTAAGTCTGAAAAAAAGAATTTGAATGATTTTTTTAGAAAACTAGATCTAATTGGTCCAATTTTGCTCAAAAAACTGCCACTGACAAAACTCAAAAGGAATTTATCACAAAGTCCAACAATCCTAGTAGCATTTCCCATTGAACTGATTGCTGAAATACATTATAGTCATCCCTCACCATCCACTGAGGAGTGGTTCCAAGACTCCCCACAGATACCAAAATCCGTGGATGCTCAAGTCTGTGATATAAAGTGGAATATTATTTGAATATAACCTATGCACATCCTCTCGTATACTTTAAATCATCTCTAGATTACTTATAATACCTGACACAATGTAAATGCTATGTAAATAGATGTTATACTGTATTGCTTTTTATGTTTGTATTACTTTTTATTGTTGTATACTTATTTTACATTTTCAAATATTTTCTATCTGCAGTTAGTTGAATACGCGGTTTCAGAACGGCAGATATGGAGAGCCAACTGTATTATTGCTTATATTAATGGGAAGGACGTCTGATTATAAGGCTCCACAATGTGCCATCTCCTCAAGCTTAGGGGTTGTTGTGTTTACTTTTCCTGTGTTTCAGCTGGGAAGACAGCCTGCAGCTTTTCTGCTCTGCTACCTCCTCTGTTGAGCATATTACCTTGATTTTTCTAATCCTGTTGTGCTCTGGGTACCCAGGTGCAGGCAAAAAAAAATATTACGCATGTGGCATTCAGCTGGAGACTGTATCTTGTGCTCTTTACTTTGTCTTTTAGGACTGAAGGAGGCCTTTGGCAGGGCTTGAGGCAGGGATGCTGTTAGTGTTGACATCTGCACAGATTCTTCTCAGCCCATTTGAGCTCAGCATTGGCTCCCGGGCAAGGCAGGAACTGATTCCAGGAACTGCTTGGAATTTTCCCTTCATTTACAGATATCTTCCCCTCACCCATAAAACACACACACAGTCTTCTTCCCACAAAGCTTTCCATTTCCCTTGAGAGTGTTAACTTGTATGTACTGTGAACTGAATTCTGGAATATAGGGACCTCATGCTTCTGAAGGTTATATACTTACAACACACTTTTGGGCCATAAAACTATGATTGCCCCATAACAGTGAGAAAAGACAAGCCTTTAATTTAGTCAACACTCACTCTTTAAATGCAATTAAAGAAGGAATGCTTGTAAATAATCTCACAGACTAATTTGCATTATTTTTGTGGTGAAAAAAATTTTTCAACATATTTTCTATGATAACTGCATAAAAGAACAAGACCATGGTTCATGGAATTCTGATTTTGAACTCTCTGTGAATGAAGGCTCTGAGTGTTAGTCTTTATACGTTACGATAATCACAACAGTAAATGACATTGAGATCTTAATACATTACATCATATAAAACTAAAAATTTCCTTAAAATTTGTACTACCCTATAAGCTCCAGAAGTGAAGAAACTTTTTCTGTTTTTTAACTGATATGTGCCCAGTAGCTAGAACCTTCCTGACACAAAGTAGATCCTCAAAATGTTTTACTGAATAAATATTGAAACTGCTAATAAACTGACATTTACTTCCTCATACCTGCAAAATAAGTCGAAAATAAAGTATAAAAACTATTGTTCCCCCAAATTTTAGAAATACCAGAATTCTAAAAAGCTTTCAACATCTTCTTTCATGTTTGATGTAAGTAAATTTTTTTAAATTAAAGATGCAGTCTTTGTTTTTGATGCATGTACATATAGAAAAATTTTCATTTCCTTGAAGTTTTAGAATTTGTAAAATGCTTTGTTAATTAACCTCTTCGCACCAACAGACATGTTTCAAAACACTCACTACCGTTTAATAATCTGACCACAGACCACTAATCAGCATCTCCCTCTTCTCCAATGCTTCATTGGTTTCCCATTAAGAATCATATTGATTATCAAACTGTTCTTTAACCTTAGAGTCATTGTGACTTTCTCCTTTCTTAATTAGTTTTTCTCTATGTGTCTAGACACTCACCAACTGCTGAATCCCTCAGTTTTCAAGTCTAGTAAAATGCTAAGCTACTGGCTCCACTTCCGGAAAAGATCCCTTTGGAAAAAATAACACTATAAAATTTTCCAGTGTTTTATCTTTTATGTGTGTATATTTTAAACTTTCGTATGGGCTGAACTACTTGAAATTCAACATTACTAACTCATTTTAAAAAGGTCAGTTTTTAAAGCTATCAAAATATGATTACCTGTTATTCTATGAAAGACAAGAATGAACATTGTATCTTCTAATTATATTGTGGGTCTAAGCTATTTTATGAAGGCTCAAAACATGTAATTCCAACACTGATTTAAATAAGTTAAAGTAATTACAAAATTCAAACTGAATCAATAAATTAGAGCTGTTTACAAGAAAACACTGAAGATTCCTCTTTAGCAAGTCTTATTAATTAAATCAAAAGCTAATGAATAGAAAGCAATCAAGGCTTGATTGCCAGTAGAGACATTAATTCAGGTAAATAATGTGGTGAAAAAATGCTTTAAATATTGCTGATATTACCATAGAACATTCTATTGGAGATATTGCTAAATTTGCTCCTAGTTTCTCTAAGCTATATAGAGAGCCACTTTATTTCAGAGATTCTTCACTATTCTCTTATTCTTTTTCCAACAATTGCCATTCCCTGCTTGGCCTCCCTGCAAGCCACACTTCACACCCAAGGATGACTGACTCACTGCTTTAGTCTGCTCATCACACGGAAAGAGCTGTCAAGTGCAGAACACAGGAGAGCTGCACACATGGGGGATCATTCTATGCACAGAGACATGGGGACATTGGGTTGCCTGGCAGTCATGCTGAAGTGGGAATCCAGCTCTCAAAATGGTTCTAACTACCAATTCAAATGTCTGCCGACCCCAGAAACTGTGCACAATTATGTGTGTCCTGAATTTATAAACATAAAATTATTTTGTGAGAGTGAAGCAAGCTCTACATAGGAAAAATATGTTCTACAGGTGTACAATTGAGCCAGGCATCTATAATTAACAGTAAGTTACT